GACTCGCTCCCCTTGCAGCCAAGACGCTGAAATAAGGAACAGTTTGAATTCGGAAGGGGCTCGATGTTCCTTGCGTCCTTCTGTGGTTGTTCATCTATCCCTTCTCGTGCATCCAGGCTTTTTTGAAGCCGCAGAGGGACTTCGTTCCTTATTTAGCGTTCCTTATTTCAGCAGCCCGACTGTACTAGATCTTAAAGAAGAGAAATCTCGAGGAGGCTTGTCCATTGGGGGTTGTCTGCATGGGGTTGTCCAGATCCCCCGCCGGGATGTCCAAGAGGTGAACTTGTCTGGGGCAGGTCGTCTTGCCGTCAGTACTCGGCACGGGCTGTCCAGGTTGTCCGAGGGGTTGTGCGGGGACTTTCTTTTGAGGGGACAATTTTCCATTGAACATGGTAGGGCCTGCTTCCGTCATGCCAGAGGTACCTGGGGCTGCCCGAGCGGATAGCCGAGGACGCCGCCGCCAGGCTCTGGGGGAAGAAGCACGACGACCCTGACCAAGACGTCGCGGGACCCTGCCGGGCCGCCGATCCGCGAGGATGGCCTGCGCATTGACGAGGACCGAGCTCCCAGACGTCCGCCGATGTGGTTTCTCCAATCCGCGGCCCCAAGGGGGCCCAGCAGCGCGCCCCGTGGCGCCGCCATCGAGGAACACCTCGCTGGAGGTCTGGGGTCGGAGGAGGAGGAGGATGAGGAGGAGGAGGAGGAGGAGGAGGAAGAGGAGGAGGAGGAGGAGGAGCACCGGCGGCTCCGCGCTCCGTCCTGGTCATGGTCAGCGGTGCAGGCTGGAGGCGCCAGCGCCGCTGCCCCCCAGGGGTGTCCACCTCTCCGCGGGGAGGGTCACGGCGGCCGCGTCGCTCGACGGCAGCCCCTGCTGCTCCGCCGGCTTCGAGCTCAGCCTCGGCTGGGCGTTCCAGGCCTGGCCCACCTCCTCTCGTCGCGACCAAACCCAGACATGATCGCGTCGTAAAAAAATCAGGACGGGAAGTTTTTGACTATTTTCGGCCCCGGGGGGCCCTCGCTGGGCCTCGGGACCGTCAGAAAACGATTCAGGACGAAAAACCGGTCCCGGGGAAAGGGTCGGGATTTCCGGGGACGCCGTCCTGAAAAAATCAGGACGTCGCATGTCTGGGAAGTCACGGCGGAAGGTGTTTGGCCGTTTTCGGCCTCCAGGGGCGCTTCACCCAAACCCCCGACGTCATGATTGTTTCATGACGTCGACCCCCAGCAGAGGTCCGGACCCATTCCCTGGGAGCGGTTTTGCATCCCGAGTCGTTGTTCGATGGCCCCGAGGCCCGGCAAGGGCCCCCAGGAGCCGATAACGGCGAAAAGCCTCCCGTCGTGAGTTTGTCACAGCGCGAGAGGTTCTGGGCATCGGGCCCCGGGACCGTCCAACAGCGGCTCAGGATGACAAGCTGGCCCCCAGGTGCGCGGTTTCCCTGGGGCCGTAGGAGGAAGAGGAGGAGGAGGAGGAGGAGGAGGAGGAGGAGGAGGAGGAGGAGGAGGAGGAGGAGGAGGAGGAGGAGGAGGAGGAAGGGGCAGGGGCAGGGGCAGGGGCAGAGGGAGGAGGAGGAGGAGGAGGAGGAGGAGGAGGAGGAGGAGGAGGAGGAGGAGGAGGAGGGGTCGCCTGAGCCCTTCGGAGAAACCCTCCACCCCGGGGAAGGCGTCCAGACCTCCGGAGGTACACGTTGCGAAAAAATCACGACGTCGGATTGCTGGGCTCGCCGTGCCCGGGCTTTCGACGGCGATCGGGCGCGCTCGAAGTTGTTCGAGATCGCGGCATGGAGGAAGGCAAGGACCCAGACCCCCTCGCGCTGTGACAAAGATCACGACGCGAGGTTTTTGCTATCGTTTCGGCCTCTGGAGGCCCGGACTGGCCCTCGGGACCGTCAAGAAACGGCTCAGGATGAAAAATTGGTCCTGGGGAATGGGTCGAGACCTCTGGGGGTCGACGCCATGAAAAAGTCATGACGTCGGGGGTCTGGGGAGGGAAAGGGGGCCGAGTCGATGCTTGACGGTCCCGGGGCCAGTGGAGGGCCCCAGGGCCCGGGGAGCGGCGAACAAAAGTCGAGGGCCCGTTTCCCTCAGGGCTCGCTTTATTCCTGTCTGCAGGCGCCCGACGATGCGTGTGTTTCTCCATGCGCGGCCCCGACCCCTTCCCTGGGGATCGCTTTGAACCCTGTGCCCGACGAGGGGCCCCGGAAGGCCGACATCGAGGCACAGAGACTCGAGGATGGACAGGCATCATGCCCTCGGGGATGTGGGAACCGGGCCCTCCCCAGGGCCTTCCCCAGGGCCAGTCTCGGGTCGGGCATGTCGCCCTAAAGGCGGACTTTGGAGGAACAGTTTGAAAATCGTCAAAGACGTTCGAAAATATTCCAGGAGAGTCGAAAAATCGCCCCCGGACTATTTTTTTGTGCATCTTTGGACATTCTTCCTGCAGAGGGACATGCCCGACTTACAGACCGGTCTTTCATCCTCGTTTCTTGACGGCCCCCCGGGGCCCGCGGAGCGCTCGCCCCAGGGCCAGGAGTAGAGCGCCCGTTTCCCTCGGCACTCGTCTCCTTGGGGCGCTCCAAACCCAGACCCCCTCGAGCAATGGACAACATCACGACGGGAGGTTGTTCCATAGTTTCGGCCTCTGGAGGCCCGTACTGGACCTCGGGAGCGTGAAAATTACCCTGGCGACGTACCCAACCCCTGCGCAATGCGGGGCACGAGTAGCTTGGGACACGTTAGAAATAGGTGATGACGTGACATGGGCGCATACGATTCTGCGAGCGGCATTCGTGAGGCTCGCAGCCCCCCAGGGACGGCGAGGTCCCGCTCAGATCTGCTCGGTGCCTCACTCCGCTGGACCCGCCAGCAGCCCTCGAAAGTGGCGACAGTTTCGCAGACCGCAGCCCCCCAGGGACGGCGAGGTTCGGCTCAGATCTGCACCGTGCCTCACTCCGTTTTGCCCACCAGCAGCCCTCGAAAGTGGCGGTAGTTTTGCAGATCGCAGCCCCCCAGGGACGGCGAGGTCTCGCTCAGATCCGCGCGGTGCCTCACTCCGCTGGGCCCACCAGCAGCCTTCGAAAGTGGCGACAGGGACGGCCAGGTCTCGCTCAGATCCGCGCGGTGCCTCATTCCGCTGGACCCACCAGCAGCCTTCCAAAGTGGCGGCAATTTCGCAGATCGCACCCCCCCAGGGACGGCGAGGTCTTGCTCAGATCCGCGCTGTGCCTCACTCCGCTGGACCCGCCAGCAGCCCTCGAAAGTGGCGGCAGTTTCGCAGATCGCAGCCCCCCAGGGACGGCGAGGTCTCGCTCAGATCCGCGTGGTGCCTCACTCCGCTGGACCCGCCAGCAGCCCTCGAAAGTGGCGGCAGTTTCGCAGATCGCAGCCCCCCAGAGACGGCGCGGTCTCGCTCAGATCCGCGTGGTGCCTCACTCTGCTGGACCCGCCAGCAGCCTGCGAAAGTGGCGACAGTTTCGCAGATCGCAGCCCCTCAAGGACGGCGAGGTTCGGCTCAGATCCGCACCGTGCCTCGCTCCGTTGGGCCCACCAGCAGCCCTCGAAAGTGGCGGCAGTTTCGCAGATCGCAGCCCCCTAAAGGACGGCGAGGTCTCGCTCGGATCCGCGCGGTGCCTCACTCCGCTGGGCCCACCAGCAGCCTTCGAAAGTGGCGACAGGGACGGCGAGGTCTCGCTCAGATCCGCGCGGTGCTTCACTCCGCTGGACCCACCAGCAGCCTTCGAAAGTGGCGACAGTTTCGCAGATCGCATCCCCCCCCCAGTGACGACGAGGTCGGAGACAGACACCGCAGGCAAGATGCGTACACAAGAGGTGCGCACGAGGCGAAAGGAGTCAACCGCAGAACCAGCGTATAACCCACCTCGTTTGGGCCGACAACATCATCATTTTCAGCGAGTCGCTTGAGCAGTTCACGGACATGATGCGCCATCTCACCGTTGCAATCGAAGATTTTGGGTTTCGTTGGAAAGCCATCTCATTAGAATACATGTTGTGCGGTAGTCTGCGCGACACCGCCCATCGTCAACAACAGTCCGTGCTCGTCTCCAGCACCACAGTTGTATAACAAGTCCAACACATGATGCTTTTGGGTATTAAGTTCGATCCTCGAGGGGATACCGAAGTCAGTTTGGAACAAGGCTTGTCTAAAGGAGAAGCATGTTTTTGGAAACACTACCGTATCTTATCTGGACATGGGCCGGTATCCTATAAATTACGCGCGTGGTCGACGGCTCCAGTGGCATCCAGCTTGTTTTGTTGCGGGTCTTATCACATATCTAAACACCACCTTGTCCGTCTACGTTCTTGGGAAAACGGCATTCTTCGGAAGGCTCTTCGGCTGCGGCGGCGACCTAATGAAGGGTATATGTCTTACAATTCTCGTACTTCGCACGTGATTCAAAATTGGTTTGTTTCGCACGGCCACGCCCCTATTCATCACAAGGTGTTGCGTGCCATTTTCGACGAGGCGTGGCGGGAACGGCAATTTACATCGCCTGGTGGAGTAAATTAGTTATCTTGCTTTGGCACGGGCTTACCGCAACCGGCTCTTTTGGGAAACGGTCAAGGATTTCGAAAAGGAGCGCCGGGCGGAGGGCATCGTGCATGCGGGATTCGGCTATCGGCGCGAGTGGGAGGACATTTTCTGCACCGCCTTCGGAACAGAGTGGCGTCTGAGACGCGACAGGTGCGATTCATATGAGTCTTGGAATAAGCATCTTGACGAATTCAAAGCTTTGGTTTGCACGCAGTGGCAATTCCCTAACCGTGGCCAACGCGCACAGGACGTCCATGCAGACATTCCGGCCAACCTCAACAAGCGCAGAAAGTTTCTTCATCACAGCTTGGATGGATGCCCGGATCAACATGGAGACGAACCGCCCGTCATCGAGTTTGATCGTATATGCAATTTTTTCGTCTTCGTGGTGGCTTGTAAACCTCTAGCTGAAGTGGCATGCGGGCACGCGCCGTTGAATTCACCCAGGCTCACACCGGTGTTTGAAAGGATCACCGGCCAGATTTTCAAGTTAATTGACGCTGGATGGTCTCCGGCATCTCAGACGGGGGATCCCATCGTTTGGCACCGACGCGAGAACAATCGCATCGCTGATTTTCTTGTGAATCACACCATGGATTCGGGCACCGGCTGGCGGAAAGACGTCGCGCCAACCCTGGAAGATTTTAGTGCTCGAAGCCAATTTTATCATCCATTCTGATGGGGGTACCCGCGCAGGTTCCTGCTCAGCTGGAGCCTGGTTCGCCGAAGCGGTGGTCTTGCGCGACGGCCGTCGCCACATTTTCCCAATCGCGATGAGCGGCACGTGCATTCATCCGCCTGTTTCATCTTTCACTGCGGAAGCTATGGCCTTAGAGGACGCAGTCTGTTCGATATCCTGGCTGATTCATCATGGTTGCACGGCGAAGCACGGCAGAGTTCATCGCAATTTTTAACCCTCAATTCCTGTTTGGTGGCCTGTCACGGTGTGGCTAGAGGCGTCTGGAAGAAAGAAAGAAGGAGGAGAAGGAGAAGGAAAAGGAGAAGTGGAGACCGCAGTGCTCTGTTCAAAACGAATACCCAACCAAGAAGGGTTGGGGAAAATAGGATGAGAAAACCGGTCCCGGGGAATGGGTCGAGATCTTTGGGGGTCGACGTCATGAACCAGTCAGGACCTCGGGAAAGTGGAAAAGGGGCTTCGCCTTCGAGGATCGAGGGAGTTGTCGCGGCGGAAGCTCGGCGGAAGTAAAACGAGGCCGCTTCCGCCAGCGGAAGCCGGCCGAAGCTCGGCGGAAGGCGTCGGAAGTAAAAAATGCGCCCCCAGGAGGTGAAAACGTTTTCGGGCTCAGGGTTTTCGACATCGCCCTCATGTCCCGGGCACCAATCAGGGACTCGTCCTCAGGACTCGTTTCCTCGGGCACGTGCCCGTACATCCTCCAACACCAAATCAGTCTGAACCATGTCTGGACTACATCGGGCATACCACGTTTTAAGGACCCTTTGTCAAGGCCGCCACAGGTATAATTACCGCGACAGACGCATCTTTTTTTTTGCAAAGCTTTCGTCGCACAGAGGGTCGTTGGTTCATTTCAATGAAAAGAAATCATGTCCCAGACATCCGACGCTGCTTTTTGTTTTGAGTGTTCCCAGATCCGTGTCCCTGCAGGCCCTCCCCGCGGGCGCCCCGCTGCCCAAGGCTCGGCAGGGACAAAGGGCAACAACGACACGACGCCGTTGGAAGCCCCTCAGCGTGGTGCTCCTTCGTTTTCGTCCGAAGATCCGGTGTTTCTTCGACGGTGCCACGCTTCTCGACCGACGTTTTGTGAATTTGTCACAGCGTGGATCGCCAGAGGTCTCGACCCCTTCACGGGGACTGGCTTCTCATCCTTACTCGTTTTTTGAAGGTCCCGAGGACCAGTGAGGGCCCCCAGAGGCCAAACATTGACAGCATCGTACGTCGTGATTTTTGCACTACGCGACGAAGTGGAGCCCTAGACCCAACCATTCCGCGGCTTTTGATGGAGGCGGATCGACGTGTGATGGTCCCAGGAGCTGATGCGTGGCGGACAGGTGACCTATCTGTGATCGCCAGTTGTGACAAAGTGCGACGCCAGGATGTCAGGGACGGCGGCGTGCCATTCCCTAACACCTGGCATCGTTCGGACGTGTGCATTTTTTTCTCGGCGAGGACCCTGGAGGAGCATCCTGGATCATCGAGCGAACAAAAACACGCACGAAACCGAAAAATGCACAGGGAAAGGACGTCCGAGCGATGGTGTAACAGCGTTCCGCTGGAGTGTTCTAGCAGAAGGACAAGAGGACCACAGAAGGGTCCCACAGGGCGGACGGGAGGCCCTAGATTGTCTGGCCCGGCGGCCGCTTCGCCTGAGGTGTCCTTTCAATGTGTTCTGGAATCGCGCTCTCGCCTGAATGCGGCCATATTTCTGGTCTGGACAGCCGTGGTCCCGATCCCCTGGAAAAAATACACATTGTCAATTTCTAATTCTTCGGAAGTTCTTCGATTTTCTGGGGGGCCGAGATAACGAGCACAACTAGAAATGAGCACGATTAGAAATGAACGACATGTACACTAATGTGCATATGGGCGTGCCCTCCGTGTTCTTCCTGCCCTTCGGGTTGCCAGAGCTCCGCCCCCGCGTACGATCCTTGCACGCAAGAGCACACCCTACCGCACTTCCGGCTCTTGGCGCTGCTAGAGGTCCACTCCCGCGTACCGCAAAAGTGAACACCCTACAGGAACCTCGTGCGTTTCCCAGGCATCCCGGTGGATCTTTGAGGATACGCATGTTCACTAGCCGACCTCCCACTCCTCGACCCGCCTCCTCACCCTGGCTACTCTTGAGGGTGCTTTGCTGGGAGGATGGTGTGTCCAGGCGGACACCGTCCCGCAGGCCGTACAGGCCGCACGGGTCCCACGGGTCTCTCGGGTCTCACAGGTCCTGCAGGCTCCACAAAGGTCCCACAGGTCCCAGAGGTCCCACAGGTCCCACGAGGTCCCACTGGCCCCACAGGTCCCACAGGCCCCACTGGGCCCAACAGGCCCCGCGGCCCCGCAGGTCCCACAGGTCCCACACGCCCCACAGGCCCAGCAGGCCCCGCAGGTGCCACACATCCTACAGGTTCCAAGGGTCCCGCAGGTCGTACAGGCCGCACGAGTCCTTCCAGGTCCTTGCGGGTCCCATAGGTCCCACAGTTTCCACAGGTCCCACAGGTCTCTCCCCGCCTCGACCCGCCTCTCCACCCTGGCTGCCCTCAGGGTGCTTTGCTGGGGTGCAACTGCTCTCGCTTTTTGCTACCCAAGGCTGGCGGCGCGTAGAGGGGGGTAGGGGGGTAGGGCTTCTGAGACGGAGGCCGCTTCTTAGAAGGCGCCAGCCCTGTCTCTACGGATGAGGCCCGCGCCTTCTAAGAAGCGGCCTTCTTCTAAGAAGCCTTCCCCCCTCCCCCCTACCCCCTTGTGCGCGCCGCCAATGGACATCGCACCCTTGGCGCCGACATTGGCGCGCAAGCTGCTCGCGCAGGGTCGCGCGTAAGCGCCATCGCTTCCAGGGCGGTGTGCCGCCCTGGCGGCCCGCGCAAGCCGCCGCGTGAAGGTCGCTGTGCCATCTCGCGCAAGACCCGTTTCTGGTCGTCGCTTCGACGAAGCCCATCCCCATTCGACTTGGGGGAATCACTCAACATTGGCTGGACTATGCATGTGATCAGATACTTTGGGACAGTTGGGAAGGCGACTTCCTCCACCACATTCAGCAAGCGGGCTCCGGCCCACCTGCGCTGCTCCTTAGAAGGGGCCCGCCGGCCGGCCGGCGGACTCAGCGCGCTCCGCTTCCGCTTCCGCTGCCCTGCCCTCCTCTGTCTGCGCGTGGCCGAGTTTGGTTTTCGGGGCACAGCTCGGGTCTCCGGCGGCCGTTCGGGGCGATCCGGACACCTCCGGGGCGCTCTCGGCGAGGCGCAGCTGCTGGGACGCCTGCCTATAGGCTGGGACACCGCCGAGAACCGGCGGAGGCTCCCGACAGCGCCCTCTGCACGTGGCTCGGAGCACACGTAATGGGGGGCCGATCCATGGGGGGCCCCAGGACAGACAAATAAATGCACACACATAAACATATATTCCTCATATTTTCGAATATTTTCTGGGTTTCTGTCGGCCCCCCCACTTCCCATATTTCCAATATTTTCTGAGGAATCGAGGGTTAATTGTGTCTGTGTTTTTTTTTCCTCTCCTGAGATCAATGGGGGGGCAGCGAGGGGTGTGCCGAAGGGGTGTCCCTGGGGGCCCCGGGCCCTTGAGGGCCCGAGAATGGGGCCTCGAGGGCCCGAGCGTTGGGGCACCTTTCTCCCCCCCGCCTTTTTCTATCGCCCCCCACAGATTCGCGCCCAAGCGGCTCCCCTTCCCCCTCCCTCCCTGCCCCAAGAGGGGCCCCAAAAGGGCCCCAAGACGGCCCCAAGAGCACCCCAGAGCGCTCCAAGAGTGGGCCAAGAGGGCCCCAAGAGGGCATGTTGGCGCGTGGCCGGCAGGGCCCTCCTGTACCAGATCCGCGCCGGGTTGGGAGGATGGGGGGCTGGGGGAAATGATCCGATCATCCGTGTTATCGCGCAGGTTGAATGAGCTAATTGCAGTCCTGCATCTTCCCAACGCCGCTTCGTCCCAACGCGATGCAGTCAAAGTCAGGATTCACAGTGAGGACGCACGACTGTCATCATGGTGCCTTTGCACCCTCGCCTCTGCGGCCCGTCCCTCGCCGTTTTTCCCTGCCCGGCCCCTCGGGATGCTGGCAGCTCGCCCTCAAAAGCACGAACTTCGGCGTCCGAGGCCCTTGCGTCCTCAGCCCCCGTCCGCACTGCAGTCGGGGAAACGTAAGACTCGAGAAAGCCAGAACTCTGGTTTGCCGACGTTTTTTGACGAGCGCGTCCTGGATTTTGACGGTCCAGTTTTCGTGGAATGTCTGCAGCGGGAGATCGCGTCAAGTTTAAGATTGGGTATCGTCATTTTTCTGATGGCCCCGTCAGGCCAACCCGAGTCCCCCGTACCCGATTCTTATGTCTTCCCGATATAGGTCTTGCCTGCAATCGAAGAAGCAAACGCCATAAGCATAAGTTTGTTGCGCTCCGCGCAGGATTTCTTGGATCCGCGCTGGGCCCCCCCGGCGGCGCCTGCGGCGCCAACCCTTGGCGCGCTCCGCGCGCCAGGGAGGGGGTCCAGCACAGACCCAAGGAATCCCCGCGGACCGACGAAAGTTTATGTTTATGGCATGTGTTCTCCTCTTATGTGTCGTTCTCACGTTAGCTGCCCCCGTCCACGCTATGGGTTTTGACTGCCCAGACATCCGGCGTCTCGATCTTTTCGAGACACGGGCGCCCGACCACTTCCCCAGGACCGGTTTTTCATCCCGAGTCGTCTTTGGACGGCCCCGAGGCCCGCTGAGGGCTCTCAGAGGCCGAAGACGGCCAACAAAGACCCGTCTCCTCGACTGTGTTTTCGGGACGCCAGATGTCTGGGTCCCAGACATGCGACGTCCTGATTTTTTCAGGACGGCGCCCCCGAAAGTCCCGACCCTTTCCCCGGGAACGGTTTCTCGTTCTGAGTCTTTTTTTGACGGTCCCGAGGCCCGGCGGGGGCCCCCCCGGGGCCGAAAATAGCGAAACGCTTCCGTCCGGATTTTTTTCCACGACGCCATCGTGTCTGGGTGTCAGTGTCGTCCTCCCTGCTGCTGCCCCAGGCCCTCCTGTACCAGGTCCGCGCCGCGCCCTGCGGGGGCCCCGGCAGCGGCGCCGGCGGCGGCGCTCGGGAGCCTCGAGACGGGGGTCAATGCAAACGGGGGTCAGCCAGAGCGCCAGATCTTGCAGGATCCTGCAGGCCCAGGCTCCCATTGACCCGGGTTTGGGTGCAGGATCCTGCAAGATCTTGCAGGATCCTTCGCGTTGACCCGGGTTTGGGTGCAGGGTCTGGCAGGAGTTCGCAGGATTTTGCAAGCCCAGACCCCCGACGTCATGATTTTTTCTTGACGCGACCCCCAGAGGTCCAGACCCGTTCCCTATGACCGGGTTTTCGTCCCGAGTCGTTTTTTGACGCTCCCGAGGCCCAGTGAGGGCCTTCAGAGGCCGAAAATAGCGAAAAACCTCCCGTCGTGATTTTTTCATGACTCGAGGAGGTCTGGGAGGCCTGGCTGACCCGGGTCTGGCTTGGCCCGGGCCAGCAGCTCCCCGAAGCCTGCCTGCCGAGGCTCCGAAAACTGACCTCCTCCTCCTCCTCCTCCTCCTCCTCCTCCTCGTTCTCCTTCTCGTCCTCCTCCCTCGTCCTCCTCGTCCTCCTCCTCCTCCTCCTCCTCCTCCTCCTCCTCCTCCTCCTCCTCCTCCTCCTCATCCTCCTCATCCATCTCCTCGTCGCCAGAGGATCCCCGCGGCGCGGCCCCGCCCTGGCTCGTGCTGCCGCCCGCGCTGCTGGCCGGGCCCGCGGCCGCGGCAGGCACCGGCCGCGCGCGCGCGCGGCAGACGGCGGTCGTGGAGAGCACGGCCGGACCGGGGGGCCTCCCCATCGGTCGTTGAAAGTAGGTATCCCAGACCCCCTCGAGTAATGCAAAAATCATGACGGGAGGTTTTTCCTAATTTTCGGCCTCCGGGGGCCCTCACCGGGCCTCGGGAGCGTCAAAAAACGACTCAGGATGCAAAGCCGGTCATGGGGAAAGGGTCCAGCCCTCTGGGGGTCGTGGAGAGCACGGCCGGACCGGGGGGCCTCCCCATCGGTCGTTGAAAGTAGGTATTTTTGGATTTCCAGATTCCAATCTACTTTCAGCGCCCTCCAACCTCAAGAGTCGAGTGGTTTTCCTTCTTCCTTCCTCTTCAGGAGGCGGGCGGAAACCCAATGTATTTCCAACGGACCGGGGGGCCTCCCTGACTCCGGATCCGCCCTACTTTGAGGGCCCAGGCTTCCCAGAGATCCAACGTATTGAAAAAATCAAGACGGAGGTTTTTCTAAATTTTCGGCCTCTAGCGGCCCTCGCCGGGCCCTGGGCCCGTCAAAAAACGACTCAGGATGAAAACCGGTCCTGGGGAATGGGTCGAGACTTCCAGGGACCCCGTCCAGGGACCCAGACGGCGGTCGTTGAGAGCACGGCCGGCCCGGGGGGCCTCCCTGACTCCGGATCCGCCCTACTTTGGGGAAATTCGTAAGCGGGGCTTGGCATTTCCGCCTTCCTTTTCCAGCCCCGCTGATGCCAGTTTCCGCCCTACTTTTCTGTTGCCGTTTCCGCCCTGTTTCCGTGGACTTCCGCCCTATTTTATGTTGGGTGCAGAAATTTCCGCCCTACTTTTTCGGCTTCTTATAGGTGGATTTCCGACGCAATTTTAAGTTGGAAAAATCAGCCAAAGTAGGGCGGATCTGGAGTCAGGGCTAGGCTTAGGTCGGGCCCGTCCCTCTACAGGGGGAATCTTCCAACATAGTCAAAAAAGAGATCTGGGGACGATGTTTTGCATATCTTTTGGCCGTGACGGGGTATGTTTGATCATTCTTTATCTTTCGTGCAGAATCCCCCTTGTAGGGGGATAGGCCCGACCTAAGCCCACCCAGAGATGCTCGCGTCGACAAACAAAAAAAAACAAGAAAACAATCACGACGGGAGGTGCTTCACGATTTTCGGCCTCCGGGGGCCCTCGCCGCGTCAGAAGGCGGCGGCTCAGGGCGAAGAACCGGCCCTGTCGGGACCGTCAGAAGACGGCTCAGGACGAAGAACCGTCCCTGGGGAGGTGGTCCAGAGCTCCAGGGGCCAGGCATGGAGAAATTGATGGGGAGGCTTATAAAATCGAGGTCGGCTCGGGGAGGGTGCCCTCGTGTTCTTTTGTGTTTGTTGAGTGTTCTTGTGCGTCCTGGGGGAGGGTGCCCTGGCATGTTCTTCCGTTCGGCCGGCGGAGGGTCTCATGTTCTTGAAGGATGTTCTTCCGTCTTAGGTCCGGCCGTATTTGTGGATTCGCAGGTGGTCCCAATCTACTTCAAGCGCCTTCCTCCTTCAAGAATCGATGTGCTGTTGCTGTGTTTTGTTGTTCTCTGGGCGGGCCTGAGCCCAATCTGCTTGGTCCGCCTTCCTACTTCATGTATTTACCTACCTCTTCCGACCGACGGGTAAATTGAATTACCTCCTTTCGCAGTGCCAGGGGAGGACCCTGCCTTCCCAGCTTCCCAGACCCCCTCGGGTCATGACAAAGTCGTGACGAACAGTTTTTCCCTATTTTCGACTTTATGGGGACCTTACCAGACCTCGGAACCGTCACAATACTACGAGCCCGTTTCTTTACTGCTTGGGGCATGACGGGCGTCGTGGCCCCCGTTCCCCGCCCCATGACGTAACGCTTCCACCCCCAGTGCGCTCCGGGCACTGCCGCCGCGCGCATCGGGATCCGCGTAGGTGTCCGCGTAGGAATCCGCATAGGAGGCTGGTCCGCAGTCGTCGTCGTCATCATCATCGTCGTCATCGTCGTCGTCGTCGTGGCTCGTGGCTCGTCGCTCGTCGCTCGTCGCTCATCCTCGTCGTGCGCGCGGCTGGAGCCTGTTTTTTTATTCCGGGCCGATGACGGCAATCATTTGGGGGGGGGAGAGGGTCGATGATGTCACGCTTCGCGCCGGCGGCGTCTGCACCAGCAGCATGTATGACCAGCATGTAGGACGAGTAGCACCAGCATGTAGATGGCGATCTGCTCCACAACGCCTGTGTACACCACAGTGCCTGCGTGCACCACAGCGCCTTTGTACACCACACCGCCTGTGTACACCACAGCGGCCGCGTGCAACACAGCGTCAGTTTGTGCCACCGTGCGTGCGGGCACAACAGCTCTTGTGTACACCACAGCGCCTGCGTACACCACATGAGCCGTGTGCAACACAGCACCAGTGTACACAATGCCTGCGTGTGTTGCAGTGCCTGTGTACACCACGGCGCCTGTGAGCACCAGAGCAACCGTGAACAACACAGCACCACTGTTGTATATAGAATGTTGGGAGGAATCCTTAAGACAGAATGGAGCGCTTGTGGATTCCCCAAAAATCAATGGAAAGAAATCCTTATGGACAAAGGAGCGCCGCCGGAATCTACGAGTCCCCCCGAGTCCGCCCGCATCACTCTAACTCCTCCCATCTGCGTCCAGGAGGCTCCAGCTAAATTGGCCGTCCGATAACCAAGTGGACCGCTTCAAAACACAATTTTGCGGTGCACGCTGGGATGCGCACGTGCGCTGTAGCGCCAATCCGCACGACAGGGGGTAAGGGAGAGGAGGAGGAAGAAGAGGAGGAGGAGGAGGAGGAGGTGGAGGTGGAAGAGGAGGGAGGAGAACGTCGCATTCGATTATCAGCAATTTCCTGGCGTGGCGTCTAGTTGTCCGCAACAGATCCTCACGTGCATGCTCCTTCTACCTGTCCTATGCACTCAGGCACTGGTGTACACCGACGATGCGTTGCACGCGGATGCTGTGGTGTAGACTTTCGCTGTGGCGTGCACAGGCGCCGCGGTGCACGCAAGCATTGACCATGTACATAGGCGCTGTGGTGCACATGGTTGTCGCGGTGTACACATGTACATCGGCGCTGTAGTGCACGCAATCATTGTGGTGTACACAGGCACTGCGTTGCACACGCTTTTTGCAGTGTACGCAGGCGCTGTGGTGTACACGCGAGTTGAGGTGCACGCGAGCGTTGTGGTTTACACAGGCGCTGTGGGGCAGATCGCCACTTATGCTGCTCGCGTCGTCGTCGTCGTCGTCGTCGTCGTCGCGCTCGTCGCTCGTCGCGTCGTGCGCGCGGGCGCGGCTGTGGTGCCGGAGCCACACGGGGGGGGGGGGGGTTACGTCATACCCCCCGCCCCCCCCCCTCCCGCCTATAACGCCCGTCATCGCCGAACATACAGAAACGCGCTCTACTCAGGATGATAACCCAGTCAGTCCCGGGGAATGGTCGAGACCTCCAGGGGTCGACGCTATGAAAAAGTCACGACGTCGGGCGTCGTGCTTCGAGGATTCGAGGTTCGAGAATTCGAGGATTGAGGATTCGAGGATCGAGGCTTCGACGCTTCTGACACTGATCGAGGCTCGAGCGTTGAGGGCCGGTCGTCGTCGTCGCCCCGCCTCCTCGGACTGCTCGCCGCTTGCCGGAAGCTTTCCAACCTCGGGGTGCGTATCAGCAGCTGCGACTCGCCGAGGGCGTTTCCGGGGGCGCCCAGGTCGCCCCGAGCGGATGCAGGAGACCCGCGGATGGCAGCACCACCCCCGCCCGCCATGCTGCCTCATCGCTTGCTGGGTCGGCGGCCTCGGCGGGCACTCCTCCTCCCTCCTCCTCCTCCTCCTCGTCCTCCTCCTCCTCCTCCTCCTCCTCCACCCGTCGTGGGAGAGGAGGAGACGTCCTTAGAACAAAGACGCTAGTGCGTGTTTGAGCCTTCTGAAGGGGGGAAGCGATCCTTCCCCCAGGCTCCAGAATCTCGTTTGGGGAGCCCTCCCCCCTTGTGCGAGAGAAAGAGAGAAAGAGAGAGAGAGAGAGAGAACAAAAAAAGAGAGAGAGAGAGAGAGGGAGGAAGAGAGCGCCTCTTAAGTGCCGTACGTTGCATTACCCCCTTCTTTTTTGTGCCACGTGTTGCAGCAGCGGGACGCGGTGCGCCGTGGACCCAAGGACACTTCGAGGATGGTCGCTCGCTGACGCTTCGTTGTGCCATTCAGGGCTTCTGGGAACCCTTCCGTGGCCACGGCTGGGTCCACCTCGAAACTCTGGCCCGAACGCACCCCAGGATGGGTTTGGAGGTCGACGTTTGACCAACCCGTCTCGTCGTGAGAGAACAAATCTCCGACCACATGATGTTTCAACTCCGGCGTTTCCCTCGAGTTCGGCTCCTTCTCGGGCCCCGGGACCATCACCATCACCCCCGACCGCTTCCCCGGGATCCCGACCGCTTCCTCGGTTAGCCTCGTACACCTTGATTTTCCCACAACGAGAGGACCCTGACATCCATCGATCCGAAGCCCGAGGTCCTCTCGTCGTGGATGTCAGGGTCCTCTCGTCGTGGAAAAGTCAGGCATACGAGGTTCGAGGTTGTCGGGTTTTTTCGTCGGTTCCAGCCTGTGGACGCAAAAATCCGCTGCAGCACGTCTGCAAGGTCAGATGGGTGAGTCGTGCCCCCGTCTCTCGGAGGGTCGCCAACAGTTCACCACCACCAGCCCTGGCCAGGTCCATCTTGGGCCCTGGACTGGTGCCCAGACCCCTTCGCGTCGTGAACAACTTTACGTTTTTCTACATTTCCGGCCTCCGGGGGCCCTTATCGGACCGCGCGGCCGTCAAAAAACGATTCAGGATGAAACACCGGTCTTGGGGAAAGGGTCCAGACTTCTGGGGGTCGAAATTGTGACAAAATCACAACGTCGGGGGTCTGGGACTGGTGTATAGGCCTCCAGGCCTAGGCCAGGGCCGAGGCCAGGACGGCCTTTACACCAGTCCAGGGCCCAGGATGGGCCTGGCCAGGACTGGTGGTGGTGCATTGTGTGCAGCTCTTCTCGTCTCGCCCCCGGGGCAACGGCTCTCGGAGGCCGATGATTAAAACAAAAAGAAGACCCGTCGCGTTTTTTCCACGACGCGAGAGGGTCTGGGAAGATCTTTCTTGCCCAGGGTCGCTCCTACATGTGGGGCCTCGCAGGAAAACAAAGGGCCTCGCCTTTTCGAGGATCGAGGAGTTGCCGTCTCTTCCTCGGCGGACGGCGGCGGAAGGCCGACGAAAGGCGGCAGAGGTAGAACGAGGCCGCCTCCGCCGGCGGAAGCCGGTGGAAGGCTGGCGGATGAAGTAAGAATTTGCACTCCAGCAGTTCACAACATTTGTGGGGTTCAGGGTCACCAGAATTTGCCATGTAGGGGCCCTCCGCTGGAGTGGCCTTTGGTGCAGGCACGTTGGGGCTCCCAGATGGCTGAACGCGACGCGGTAGCAGCGGCTTGTGCGCTCGGGTTCGACTTCCCGCGTCGCCCTAAAGTCAACTGGCGAACAGCTGTATAACATAAGCTTGTTCGCCGTCGGGGGCGCCTGTCCAAGGGCGGCTGGAAAGTTTCTATCCTTACGGTGTTACGGTGGCGCGTCAGGGTAGAAACTTTCCAGCCGCCTGGAACATGCGCCCCCGGTGACGGAACCGTTTGTGTGACAGTGTTCTTCGCCCGCCACTAAAGGCGCGCGCGCCAAAGGCCACTCTTGCCCAGGGCCACTCTGTCGTGTAGACGAGAGGCCCTCGGGCCGTCCGCGCCTGCCGCTCCGCGCGGGAGGCAGCTCGTGCCACCGCCGACCGACGACGACGAGGAAGGACGGCGAACGACGAGCGGCGGCGCCGATACCGCACGGCGGCGGCGACGGCGGCAACGGCGGCAACGGCGATCGGACGGGCGGCAAGGGGGGGAGGAGGGAGGAGGGAGGAGGGAGGAGGGAGGAGGCAGGAGGGAGGAGGGAGGAGGAGGGAGGAGGAGGAGGAGGAGGAGGAGGAGGAGGAGGAGGAGGAGGAGGAGGGGGAGGAGGGAGGAGGGAGGAGGGAGGAGGAGGAGGGAGGAGGGAGGAGGAGGGAGGAGGGGGAGGGAGGAGGAGGAGGAGGAGGAGGGAGGAGGAGGAGGAGGAGGAGGAGGAGGAAGGAGGAGGAGGGGGGGGGGCCCAAAGGGGGGGGCGAAGAAAGCGGCCCCAAAGGGGCCTTTGCTGGCCCTCTAGGGCACGTGGTGGCTCCAGAGAGGGGGCCTTCGAGGGCCCCCCTTTGAGGGCCCTTCTCTTTAACCCCAAATTTGGGCCACCCCCCAGTGCCATGAAGTCGGGCATGTCCCTCTTCAGGAGGAGTGTCCAAAGAACAGTCAAACATAGTCCGGGGGCGATGTCTCGAGTATTGTCTGACTATGCCTGGATCTGCCTTGCCGCTGCCGGTGCTACACTTTTCTGCAAGAATTCGCCCGTAGGAGGAACTGCCCGACCTAATCGACGCTAGATCGAC